GGTGACACACAACTGATTCCATCATTCAGGAGGCAGAGGCAGGCAGATCTCTATGAGTTAGAGACTCAACTATCACATAATGAATTCCAGGTCAACCAGAAACAAAATACAGACATACAGAAGCTGGAATATGATGGGATGTGTTCATTCTGATGGGCACCTGCAAACCAGAAACTCAACCGTGTTTATTATGTACAACATGGGAGAAGTTATCTAGTCTAAGTAAGGAGGTCTGTAGCGAGAGATCTAACTATGACCACCCACAGGTGCATACGTGAGCATGTGGGATTTAGGCATGAGGGAAAGGACAGGCACTCTTTCTGGGTTCCGGTAGGGTCTTGAAGGGAAGCAGAGATTGGATGCTCAGAGCGCTGACCCTGGGATATCGGTTTCTCATATAAGTGATTTCTCCCCAATAAAATTAACCTACTTCATCCCTATCCTACCCTGTGTACTACTACAGAAGTCTCTGTAGAGAGCAGTCATAGGTTGCAGTCATCCAGAAGGAGGAAGTTGAGGTTGTTAGTTTTTTTTCACACACTGGCCAGTTTTGCACACATTGGTCAGTTATTCATAAACACTGTTACTTAGACCACGGGGAAGCCTTGCCATATATACCTCTGAGCCTCACCTAAAGAATACTTTGCCATTCTTTTTTTTTTTTCCAGTTTAAATTTAGATAAGAAACGAGGTTGCTTCACAAGTCAGTTCCAGGTCCCTCTCCCATTCCCTCCCCTCCTCCCATGCCCTCCCCCCAGCCCCCCCCCCCGTTATCCCCTCATTCCCCCAGGGAGGGTGAGGCCCTCCATGGGGGTGTCCATAGTCTGTCATTTCATATAGGGCAGGGCCTAGACCCTTCCCCAAGAGTTCAGGGTGAGAGTGCACCTCACATTGTTCTATGGGAGTCCAAAGTCCGTGTGTATACTTGGGATGGGTATTGATCTGCTGCCCAAGGCTCAATAGATTCCCTAGGCCTCCTCACTGACACCCAGATTCAGGGGGTCTTGATCAGTCCCATGCTGGATTCCCAGGCTGATGCCTGGGATTCAAGAGTTAACCTTTGTCTGATCAGCTGTTTCTGGGGGTTAAACCAGCCCAGTCTTAATCCCTTTGATCATCAGTCCTCCCTCTCTGTTACTGGCTTTCTTGAGTTCAGCTCAGTACTTAACCAAGGGAGTCTGCCTCTTCTTCGATCAGCCACTAAATGAAGTTTTTGTTTCCCAGACTCTCTGGCCATAGGATTGTAGGCTGGCACTCCCCAGATCTATGTCTAAAATCCATATATGAGAGAGTACATGCCATGTTTCTCTTTTTGTGACTGGGTTACCTCACTCAGGATGGTTTCTTCTAGTGTCATCCATTTGCCTGAGAATCTCATGATTCCATTATTTTTTTCTGCTGAATAGTACTCCATTGTGTAGATGTACCACATTTTTCTATCCACTCTTCGGGTGAGGGACATCTAGGTTGCTTCCAAGTTCTGGCTATTACAAATAAAGCTGCTATGAACATAGTGGAACAGACATCTTTATTGTATGAATGGGCATCTTTTGGATATATGCCTAAGAGTGGAGTTGCTGGGTCTTGTGGTAGGTTTATTCCCATTTTTCTGAGGAATCTCCATACTGATTTCCAAAGTGGCTGAACCAGTTGGCACTCCCACCAGCAATGGAGGAGTGTCCCCCTTTCACCACATCCTCTCCAGCATAAATTGTCATTGGTGTTTTTGATTTTAGCCATTCTGACAGGAGTGAGATGGTATCTCAGAGTTGTTTTGATTTGCATTTCCCAGATGTTGAGCACTTTCTCAAGTGCCTCTCAGCCATTTTAGACTCCTCTATTGAAAACTCTCTATTTAGTTCTGCAGCCCACTTTTTAATAGGGTCCTTTGGTGTTTTGGAGACTTGCTTCTTGAGTTCTTTATAAATTTTGGAGTTCAACCCTCTGTCAGATGTGGGATTAGTGAATTTTTTTCCCATTCTGTGGGCTGCCTTTTTGTCTTGCTAACTGTGTCCTTTGCCTTACAGAAGCTTCTCAGTTTCAGTAGGTCCCATTTATTAATTGTTGATCTCACTGTCTGTGCTACTGGTGTTATGTTCAGGAAGCTGTCTCCTGTACCAATTCATTCAAGGGTACCACCCACTTTCTCTTCTAAGAGGTTCAGTATGGCTGGATTTATGTTGAGGTCTTTGATCCATTTGGACTTAAGTTTTGTGCAAGGCGATAAACATGGATCGATCCGCATTCTTCTACATGCCAGTCTCCAATTATGCCAGCACCATTTGTTGAAGATGCTTTCTTTATTCCATTGTATATTTTTAGCTTCTTTGTCAAAGATCAGATGTTCGTACGTGTGTGGGTTAATACCCGGGTTTTCAATTCAATTCTATTGGTCTACCTGTCTATTTTTGTGCCAATACCAAGCTGTTTTCAGGACTATAGCTCTGTAATAGAGCTTGAGGTCAGGGATGGTGATGCCTCCGGACGTTGCCTTGTTGAACAGGGTTGTTTTGGCTATCCTGGGTCTTTTGTTTTTCCATACAAAATTGATTATTGTTCTTTCAAGGTCTGTGAAGAATTGTGCTGGGATTTTAATGGGGATTGCATTGAATCTGTAGATTGCTTTTGGCAGGATTGCCATTTTTACTACATTGATCCTACCTATCCAAGAGCATGGGAGATCTTTCCATTTTCTGAGGGCTTCTTTAAAGATTCAAAGTTCTTATGATACAGGTCTTTCACTTGTTTGGTTAGCGTTACCCCAAGGTATTTTATGTTGTTTGTGGCAATTGTAAAGGGTGATGTTTCTCTGATTTCTCTTTCAGCCCTTTTATCATCTGTATATAGTAGGGCTACTGATTTTCTTGAGTTGATCTTGTAGCCTGCCACTTTGCTGAAGGTGTTAATCAGCTGTAAGAGTTCCCTGGTAGAGTTCTTTGGGTCATTGATGTAAACTATCATATCGTCTGCAAACAGTGTAAGTTTGACCTCTTCCTTCCCAATTTGTATCCCCTTGATCCCCCTTTGTTGTCGTATGGCAATAGCTAGAACTTCAAGTACCATGTTGAAAAGGTGTGGAGAGAGTGGACAGCCTTGTTTTGTTCCTGTTTTTAGAGGAATTGCGTTGAGTTTCTGTCCATTTAGTTTGATGTTGGCTGTTGGTTTACTGTATATAGCTTTTATTATGTTTAAGTATGTCCCTGTTATCCCAGATCTCTCCAAGACCTTTATCATGAAGGGGTGTTGGATTTTGTCAAAGGCTTTTTCAGCATCTAGTGAGACGACCATGTGATTTTTGTTTTTCAGCTTGTTTATATGATGGATTACGTTGATGGATTTTCATATGTTGAACCATCCCTGCATCCCTGGGATGAAACCTACTTGATCGTGGTGAATGATTGTTTTGATGTGTTCTTGGATCCGATTTGCCAGTATTTTATTGAGTATTTTTGCATCAATGTTCATGAGGGATATTGGTCTGAAGTTCTCTTTCTTAGTTGTATCTTTGTGTGGCTTGGGGATCAAGGTTATTGAAGCCTCATAGAATGAGTTTGGCAAAGACCCTTCTGCTTCTATTGTGTGGAACACTTTGAGAAGAATTGGTATAAGCTGTTCTTTGAATTTCTGGTAGAATTCTGCACTGAGGCCATCTGGGCCTGGACTTTTTTTGGTTGGGAGACTTTTGATGACTGCTTCTATTTCCATAGGGGTTATAGTTGCTTATCTGTTCTTGATTTAGTTTTGGCAAATGATAGCTGTCCAGGAAGTCATCCATTTCCTTTAAATTTTCGAATTTCGTGGAGTACAGGTTTTCAAAGTATGACCTAATGATTCTCTGGATTTCCTCAGAGTCTGTTGTTATGTCCCCCTTTTCATTTCTGATTTTGTTAATTTGCGTGTTCACTCTCTGCTGTTTGGTAAGTTTGGACAAAGGTTTGTCTATCTTGTTGATTTTCTCAAAGAACCAACTCTTCGTTGCATTGATTCTTTGTATTGTTTTCCTGGTTTCTACTTTATTGACTTCAGCCCTCAATTTGATTATTCCTGGCGTCTACTCCTCCTTCGTCCGTTTGTTGCCTTTTATGAATTTTTTGGTTTGTTCTTTCTTCCATTTCTTGCATTTTTTGGTTTGCTTTTTGTTCCGTTTCTCGCATTTTGTGCTTTGTTTCTTCTTCCATTTCCTGCCTTTTTTGGTTTGTTTCTTCTTCCATTTTTTTCATTTTTTGCTTTGTTTTTTCTACCATTTCTTGCATTTTTTGCTTCATTTCTTCTTCCATTTCCTGCCTTTTTTGGTTTGTTTTTTCTTCCAATTCTTGCATTTTTTTGGTTTGTTTTTTTCTTCCATTTCTTGCATTTTTTGGTTTGTTTTTTCTTCCATTTCTTTGAGGGATTTTCCTATATCCTCTTTTAGGGCCTCTATCATTTTCATGAAAGTGCTTTTAAGGTCTTTCTCTTCTGCTTCGTTCGCATTAGAATGTTGGGGTCTTGCTGGTGTGGAGTCTCTAGAATCTGGCGGTGTCATATTTGTTTTTCTGTTGCTGACTGTGTTTTTGTATTGTCTCTTTCCCATCTCTTCTTCTAGTGGGTGCAGAAAGAGCCCCTTACTGGTCTGGGGACCAGAGTTCCCTTTTGGTGGGTGCTAGCAAGTCCAATAATCGGGTGGTTCTTCTATTCCACCAATGGAGTGACTGTATAAAGGAGAAAATGTAGCACCACATTGCTGTCTCTCACCAGAATACTTTCTTCCTCACCCCTCCTTATTTCCTTTGTTTGTTTATTCATTTTTTGTTGTTCTTTTATCATTTGGGGATTTTTTTTGTCTTGCTTTGGTTTGGGACGGGTGGGGTTGAGACAGGATTTCTCTGTGTAGCCCTGGCTGTCCTGGAACTCACAGAGATCCACCTGCCTCTGCCTCTCAAGGACTGGGATTAAAGGTGTGCGCCACCACCACACAGCTCCTTTCCTTATTTCACTCACAGAGATCTTTCTTCTTTTCACAGACTCCCTGAGAAACCTTTCTTCAGTCAGTCATGGTCCCCGCTCTTCTCCAGCTGAGTTCAGCAGCTCCAGTCAGCACTTGCTCCGAGAAAGGAAGTCCTCAGCCCCTTCACACTCTAGCCAGCCCACTTTATTCACATTTGAGCCCCCTGTGTCAAGTCACATCCAGCCTGCCTTGTCCACCAGTGCACCTCAGGAGTATCTCTACTTGCACCAGTGCATAAGCCGAAGAACAGAAAATGCGAGGTAGGAGACGACCATGGCCACCATGTGGGAATGTGATCACTCAGGTTCTATTACTTTTCAGTCCCTGAATTGCAGTTTTAAAGACAAGGGAGCAAAAAAATTTACCTTTTTAGGCAAAGAAACACATAGATAACAGAGCATTTTATTGTTTGTGTAAGCTTCATAAATTTTAGTTTAATCTGTGTTGCCACAAAGTCATCATTGAATTTCAGAGAAATTACTATTTCATTATTAGCAATCATGTTATAAAAAATGTATTTGGTTTACAGATTAGAAGCATTAGAGGAACCAGGTGGTGGTGGCACACTCCTTTAATCCCAGCAGTTGGGAGGCAGAGGCAGGTGGATCTCTGTGAGTTTGAGACCATCCTGGTCTACAGAGTGAATTCCAGGGCAGCCAGAGCTACACAGAGAATCCCTGTCTTAAAAGAAGAAACATCAAAGGATGAAGTTTCAGAACTAGTGCACCACCACCACCTGGCTTAGTTGTTGTTATTTTTTCTATTTGTATTTCTATAGTACTGAAGATTAAACCAGGGCCCTGTACATGTTAAGCAAATTTCCCTGACCAAAACCTTTCTCTTTAGAAGCCATTAAGTTATGTTCCAGCTGTCCTCTGCCCCAGAATTCTCCTCTATAGTTCATAGAACTGTTCACTCATTCCTAAACAGGGCCTCTTGTCTATGTTCCAGCCCTGACCTTGTGTTACTCATTTCTCTTGGGAATGATCTCTAATACAACAGATTCATTCTCTTCACAAAAGCAGTTGCTTCCCAGCTCCCATTTTCACTATGATCCCTCTTCTGCTTCCACTTAGCTTATACTGCATGTGTCCATTATCTGTGCCTGTGTCTTCCCACTTCTGCCAAAGGATGCACTATTGAAGGCACTGGCCTGGTGGATTATACATAATACTGAAGCAGGGTGAGGGGGTTTATTCATTGCTTCAACATCCAGACAAAAAGAGTTGAATAAAGTAACCCCCGTGTTCTGAATCTCTATTCAAATGATAAAGGAGAACCAGCAGGAAGAAATACAAGTACTCAGAACCCTTATAGCTTTTCCTGCTTTCAGGTAACTCTTTACCATGACATCTGAAGATGCTTCTGTGAATGGATGCCTGGAACTGATAGGTTTGCTGAGAGCCACTCTTACTTATTCCTGACTAATGGCTGCTGCAGGGGCTAAATAGCAAATGGAGATGCCATACCCTTCTTGCATTTATGCCTTGGTCTTACTATCTCTTTGACTATTAGAAATGCTTTCTTAATTTTTCTAGCCACATAATTCATATTTTTATACATTTTCATATAATCTTATAACTCATACTGTACTATGATTTTGATTTTCTTCTACTCTACTAAACTCTTAAGTATATTAAGATGGAGGGACCAGTTTGATTTTTTAATTAGTATATTTCTCTCAGGTTTTGTTTTAGGTTTTTTGGTTTCGTTTTTTTGAGACAGGATTTTTCTGTATAGCCCTGGCTGTCCTAGAACTTGCTTTGTAGACCATGCTAACCACGAACTCAGGGATCTACCTGCCTCTTCCTCCTGAGTCCTGAGATTAAAGGTGTGCACCTCCACAAGTGGCTCGAATGTATTTTTCATTTAAAGGAAACCTAATAAGTAAATAGTTGTAAAAAGATTAACTTCCATTTAGAATTTTATAATTGTTCATCACTAGCAATCTTAAGAAGTCACTTTTGCTGGGTAGTGGTGGCATAAGCCTTTAATCCCAAAACTCGGGAGGCAGAGGCAGGAGGATCTCTGTGAGTTCAAGGCCAGCCTGGTCTGCAAAGTGAGTTCCAGGACAGGCTTCAAAGGTACACAGAGAAACCTTGACTGGAATGAAAAACTAAAAAAAAGAGGAGAAGTAGTAGACATTTGGATCATCTTCTAGTACCAATCCCAAATGAACCCCTTCTATGAGGAAAGAAAACTATGTGCCATGATCTGTAAAAAAAGAAAAAAAATCTTTGGAAATGGAGGTATAGCTCAGCTGATAGAGTGCTTGCCTCCCATGAATGCCTGTACTCTGCATTCAGCTGGTAGAGGCTGGAGGATCAGGATTTCAAGCTAATCTTTGGCTATATAGTGAGTTCAAGGCCAGCCCAGGATATGTGAAATCTTGCTGAGTGGGGGGAGGAAGGAAGAAAAAGAAAGTGGGGAGACCAATCTATCTATCCATCCATCCATCTTTGCATCTGGAACCCTTCTGGCTACAAGAAAGCTATGCTGCACTTGTGATGCCAAATGAAATCCAACATTATGTATGATACCTTTGGTTCGTCAAAACAACTGAGTGAAGGAGTCAAGGATGTTTGGAAAAGATCTTGGGAACTTACCAACATGTCGATCACCTTTTACCCACCATTTCTCTCTCTCAAACTGTTGCTGGTCCAGTGATACTGGAATTTTAGCACTTAAAATTTACCCCTTCACTTTCAACAGAATTGTGGCTTCTCAGGGTATGTGATCTGTCTCGATGTATCACCTCTCACAGGCTTAACAGCATCTTTGAAACAGAAGACAGACATCAGCTAGAATCTGTAGTGATACCCCAAAGACTAGTGGGCAAAAATAAATCCAGGGAAACTAATTTGTCTGCAAAGACAAAAGAGTTCTGTCTTAACACAGCCAGTTCAAAACTATTTCCTTGGCAATAGATGCTGTTCTGGATGGCTACTTATTTTAGCTCAGAGGAAGACCTAGATCTTGAAAACTTGCTATTTTAGCAGAAATATATATATTACCCAGTAGTTGATGGCAGAAGAGAAGTTATTACTACAGTAAAGAGTGATAAATAATACACACTTTTATTTCCAGGAGATGCCAAACTTACCATAGCTTTATGCCAGAGCACCTCACAAATTTTTTAAAAGGGCATAGATACGAAGCTGGCATTACTAACCTTAGCAATTTATTCATTATTCTCTTTTCATAGTCTAGACTCAAAAGTAACTTTAAGAATTAAGAATTTTGGTGATCATGTGAGCCAAGTAATGTAAAAATGCTCTTTAAACTGCAAACACCATTCCTTCCTTCTGGAGCAGCTAATATGTCATACCACACTAGTATGTGCCAGAACTATGGCAGGGTGAAAGTCTGTTCACATTCGGACCAACATTCTAAATAGTTAGAGATCAAACAGAACTGAATTTTTTTACTTGGAAATGGGGTTTTGATATGTAGCTGAGACTGGTCTGAAACTTTTAATCTTCATGCCTCATCTTCATAAATCCTGGAATCAAGCATATACCACAATGCCTGGTATTACTGAGGCATTAATTTGCATTTCCTAAATGATTATACATCTCTTTGTGTACTTATTGGCCTTTCCTAAAAATCTTTATTATTTTATAAATGAAGTATATCTGTTCAAATCTTTTGCTCATCAAGAAAAAAATGGGTTGTGTTGGATACAGTGGCACATGGCTATAACTCTACCATTAGGAGGCTGAAGCAAGAAATCCAGACTGGAGTAAGAGAAGTGAATGTGTATTTATAGACAATCAGTAGCAAGCATCGCCAAGAGACTTAGCCAAGCAGAAGAGAGAAGTAGGAGACGGAGGACACGAGCAAAGAAATACAACACTCAGAATTAATATAGAATAAATAAATACATGAATAAGCAATGTCCAAGAACTTTAAGATGTGATCAAGAGACTATGGGGAAGCTGAAGAAAACCTAAGGTGCAGAAAGCCTGTTCAATGAAATTATAGCTGAAAAATTTACAAATTTTTGGAAAGAAATGGACATCTAAGCATGAGAGACATTTAGAGCCCAAAATAGACCTGTGTAGAGAAGAAATGCTCCTAGTATATCATGATCACAATGCAAACTATGCCAAACAAAGAAACACTATTAATACCAGATCAAAAAGCAATATATAAAAACAACATTAGACTTTTCAACAGAAACCTTAACGTCCAGGAAAGCATAGAATGATGTATTTCAAGTCTTGAAAGTAAATCAATCAATCAACATTGCTTTATCCAGCACAATTTAACTTTAAGATACTTCAAGAGAAATCAAGGGATTTACAAACATCCTCAAAGTAAAGCAATTCATGACCACTGAGCAGTACTGCAGAAGATAACTGAAAAGATCTTAAACACAGGGAAAAGAAAGACAATGAAACCCTATGAAAGAACAAATTCATAAGAAGAATAGAGGAACAAAGGCAAGAAGCTAGGAAAGAACTATGTCTCACTCAGTAAACCAGTCAAACCCTAACAGAAATGGGAGAAAGAAAAGAACAAACAACAATACAGCCAACCAATCAAGAAAACAAGGAACAAAATTTTAGGACCCCTCTTAATAATAATGTAAATGGACTTAATTCCACAATTAAAAGACACACACTAACTGACTAGATTTAAACAGCATCCAGGGCTGGGGAGATAGCTCATTGGGTGAAGTTCTTAATGCACTTGTAACACGAGTTCTAATAGGTCTTAGTAATAAAAGCCAGGCATCAAATATAGGGGAGAAATGCTGAGAGATAGAGGAAGGAGAAACCATAGCGACCTTACCTACTCAACTTCCCAGCCAAAAGGAGACTGAACTCCTGTCTCCTCCCACCTTATCACTTCCTCTCTCTATCCAGCCATATCACTTTCTGTCTGTCTGTACAGACCTCCAGACCTCTATGGTTAGCTAGTGGCTAGCTCTGCCCTCTGATCTTCAGGCAAGCTTTATTTGTAAGAGTATAAGCAAGATATCACCACATGTGCCAACATGAGAACTTGAGTTTGGATTTCCAGAATCCACATAAAACTGGACACAGTAACATGAATCTATAACCCAAACAAGAAGCCCTATATCAAATGAAGTGAAAGGAGACATCTGAAGTTGTCCTGTAACCTACACACATACCCCTCCCTGAAACATGCAACATGTAAAACTAAGTATTAACAGCAAAAGAAAATGTAAAAATATAAGCATTCAACAGTATATTTGTGAATGACTAATGAGTTGTTGAAGAAATTGGGGAGG